TTAGCTAGGTGTTTCATCAGAAAAACTAAATTTTGTATAGCGCATGTATAGGTGCTAAATACAATGCATTGATTTAAAACTAAGTGTGTACGACAAATTTATCAATAAATCAACTTTTTGTACGTTTTTATTCATTCAGAAGATCAGTTTTAATTGATGTGATACCCGAAATATAAACTTCTATGTAGGTACCTACATGCCTCCATTATTAGATATCTTTGATATGCCTAAATGAACAAATAGGTACAGGTAAATAAAACAAGTTAATTAATTGGAGGTTTTTTATTTAAAAATTTCATAAAAGTGTTTTTTTAGACGTTTACAAATTTTATTGATGTTTGTTTCTAGTTTAAATGGACCAGATCCAATTGAATTGATTGGTCCGTAAAATATTAATTTATTTTTAACAATTTGAATGTCGTCTTTTTTTGGCCATAAATATTCTTCAGATTTTAAAATTTTTATTTTACTAGTGGTTTCATCAATTATTTGAAAAATCCGACCTATGTACCACGACTCGTAAAGAATTGCGTAATATTGTTCGTTCCTAATTAAAATGCCATTGATATTTTTCTGGAGCAAAGTGTTTTCACCGGTAGTTTTTTCACTTTCTATTACATCTTTGTCATTGTAGTTATTTGGTATTTTAGCTGTTTTTTCTGGACTTGTTTTTTTTTTGTTATTTAGTACTGCTGAGGATGTTCCTTTTACACGAGATAATCTATCAGTTGACAAGCGCCCGTCTTCAGTGGAAAATAACCAACAAAGAACTGATTTTTTTACCTTAATTTTTTTGTTGTTCACAATTATGTTTAAAAATGAGGTATCAGAATCACTTTTTGTGTAGTAATTTCGAAAATCCTTTATATTAAAATCTTCCAATCCATAAAAAATGCTCTTTTCATTATCTACATCATATACGGAAACTTAAGTTTAAAATTTAATGTTTTTTACTTTATCCGTTTTTGATTTTTCTTTAAAATTCGAAATTTACATATTTTCTTAAATATCTCGAATACGGTCCATTTTAGAGAAATTATGTATAGAGCAAAAATTATAGAGAATTATATTACAAACAACTTTTATTTAAACAATTTTTATAAAAAAATATTTTTTTTTACATTTTGTCAAATTTCTCGAATACGGACCAAATTTTGTATAGAACAAATTATAGATAATAATATTGTAAGTAACTTTTATTTGAAAAAATTTCTTCTCCAAACGTAAATAACAGATTTATTTCATAAAATATAAAAATGATGACTATTAAGTACCCTTCAAATGTTCCGACTCTGCCCAAAATCTAATCAGCTAATTGGACGCCGGAATAAAGCTTAAGTTTAATATTTGGTGTTTTTCTTTGTATCCGTTCATGAGTTATCGAGGATACAGACACACACATAGACATCATCGCGAAAATAGTCAAAACAGATTCAGGATACCCCAAAACATAAAAAACCGTCAAAAATTCGAGGTCGAAAAAAATCATGATTCCTATACTTTCCTTATCTGTAAACAGATAGGAAAGTAAAAATACATTTAAAACCCTAATTAAAACGTGTATCACCCCAACCCCCATAAAATACCAACAATTTTGTTATACAATAAAAAAAAAAACTAGATGAAAAGGGACAATTTTTGACCACCTTGTAAAATTTTGTATACAAGTAGATTTAGTGTCTAAATTTATCCTAAAAAAACCTTCAAATTCCAAAATGTAAATTTAACTTAATAGTTCTTGCCTTAAAATGTAAACTGCAATTTCTTTACACAAAATGGTTTAGATGGCTTAATCAAAGCACCCTACATCAACAATGGCTAATTGGTTAATGTCACCTTACTGCGCGCGATTTTTAACGATTGCTAGTGATTGCTCAGTGACTGCTAGAGAATTCTGGGGACTGCAAGGGAATTCGGAACGATTGCAAGGGAATTCGGAACGATTGCGAGCGAATTCGGAACGACTGCGGCGATTTCTTAGCGATTGTCACTGATTTTGATGAGACTGCGGCGATTTTCAATGGGATTGCGGACATTTTGTACACGTATTGCGGGAGTGATTTGCCCCTCGGAGTTTTCTATATCAGTGAACTTTAAAAGATTGAAACTCCTTATAATATTTTGCTTACCCTCCACAGGAATCCTTTTGGAGCACTGTAAACGTTTGCAGTCGCATTCTTTACCAATTTCATGGCTTTGCACCTTCAGTTTTTATTGACATCTATTAATCTTTCATGTTTTGGCCTTTTTTGTAGAAGACACCATCACGTTATTCCCCTGTACGAGATATTTTTTGTATTTAATCTCTTTACTTAACGTGTTCTTGCAGTGGAAAATATTTTTAGAACAAAACTTTAATATCTCAACTTTGCTAAAAATTTACTTAGCCCGTTTGTCCCCTGTACCCTTCATTTGTTCTAATTCTTTATTCTTCTCCTGTAATTTTAAGTCGTCCTACTATTACTCTCATAATTTGTCTTTATATCATTCCTAGAACTTTATCCATTATTTTTTTCATACTTAATTTGTTTGCTGCGTAGAATAATTTTGATATAATTATTGTGAGTAATTTACTTTTAAGTAATTTTTTGTTGGAAGGCTGTATTTGTATTGAATATTTTATTTGCTATTTTAAGTTTCCTGTCTCCTGTTTTAGCTATTGTGATTTCCAAATAATAAAATTTTTCCTAGTTTAATACTTTTTAATGCTGCTTTAATATATTATTTATATTGATTTTTATTTTTTCTTAGTTAAGCTCTAGTCCCATAATTTTTCCTTGTTTTACAATTTCGTTCATAATGTTTTTCATATTTTGATTGTTTTTGCAATTATCACTATATTATCTGCATATGCAACGACTTGTCCTCCTCCTGTTATCAGTGTGCCTTTATCAATTTTCCTCATCACATATTCTAATGAGAAGTAGAATAGAGTGGCGTATAGCGATTCTCCTTGTACTACTTCTTTATTAATTGTGGACTCTCCCTTCTTTCAGGGGCGTGTGATTCATGGAAGCGGGGGAAGTACCACTTCCCTACACTTTGAGATTTTAAAATGAATATGTTTCACTTTACAATGCATAGAAATTAATATTAAATTAGGTACTATATTTTTTCTGAAAACTTCGTAAATGTACTAACAATTCATTGGTGTAATGTGTAAACGCATGCACCACCCATGAAAAAATTAATTGTATAAACGCACACACTATATACTTTGGGTCCGTCGGCGGAAGCGCGTCTTGAAATAGCCGGTTCATCTTCTAATTGATTTCGCTTCGTGCGATATGTATTGGATAGCATTCCTCAGAGCGATTCGTAGGATTTTTGGACGTCACTAGCGAACAAACTGGAGATGAATTGTTTAAAATTGTTTGTGACATTATTTCAAGTTTAGAATATGGTTCTAAGCTTATTGCCCAGAGCTACGATGGTGCTGCCGTAATGGCTGGCCATTTAGGAGGCCTTCAAGCTAACGTGAAAGAGAAGTTTAAACATGCAATTTTCGTTCATTGTATAGCACATAGACTTCATTTGGTTTTATCGTGAAGCATGGATAATATTAAAGATTGCAAAGTTTTATTTTCGACGCTAAGTGGTTTGGCTTCCTTCTTTTCAAAGTCATCGAAAAGAACTCGCGCTTTGGACATTCACGTTCAAAAAAGGTTTCCAAAAGTTGCTCCGACGCGATGGAACTACAATGGACGTTTAGTGCAAACAGTGTTTCAATACCGTGATTCTTTGATACACTTTTTTCAAGACGTTTGGGATAATAAAGAAACATGGAATGCTAAAACTGATTTTAATTTTTTGCTCAACATTTAAGCAGAGATTTTCCCTTTTACTGACATTTTATTTGACATTTTACAGACAAAGTCAAATGACATTGGCTTTTGCATTAAACAAATTGATGATTTTAAAAATAAAATTAATAAAAAACGAAACCGGTTTGAATACTTTTGGAGTAAGACTCAAAACATTGGTTTAGAACCTGAAAGAAAGATAATTAGAATTGATAATCTCGGTGACAGAGAGACCTCCTATCGTCGATTATACGCCAAAATTTTTGATAATAATTTACAACAAATGAACTCTCGATTTCAAAACTTTAACGAATTAAAATTTGTTGAATTTTGCAATTTTAATAATAATAATAACAATAATAACTACGATTCATCAAGATTTCCATTGGAAACTTTTAATTCACTAAAATTAAATTATAAATTTTTTTTCGATATTCCAGCATTAAAGTCCCAGTTAAGTGTTGTTTATGAAACAACTGAAATAAGTGATTAAAAGATGCCTATCAATGTGTTAAATTTTCTTATAACAACTGGTTTAAATAAGTCCCTTTGTGAAGTAGTCAAGTTGTGCGAATTAGTACTAACCATCCCAGCCACAAGTGCGTCAGTTGAGCGATGTTTTTCAGCTTTAAAGCGCATTAAAAGTTTTATATGAAATTCAACAATTGAAGACAGACTCTCTAATTTAGCCCTAATAACCATTGAAAAACATCTTGTTAAACAGTTATCAGAAAATCCAAAATTTTACGGCGATGTTATAGACAAATTTACAGCCATTGAGGATAGGCGAATAGATCTTAAATATAAATAAATGTCAACTGTGCAAAAAATGCTGTAAAAAATTAAAACACTAGCCTATTGTATTTTTATACAATCGTTTCCCCTTCCAAAAATGGCACGGCACGCCACTGCTTCCTTTTTGTCTTTTATTATTAATTTTTGTTTCTTGCATTGTTATTAACCAAATTAACTTTTTTGATATTCCTAAACTGCAGTTTGGTTCATTGTATTGAGTCAAAGGCTTAATTATAGTTAATGAAAAACATTTATAGGTCTTTTTTGTGTTCATACGCTTTTTCCATTATTTAATTTATTATATTTTCCCCACGTGAATCTACACTGGTACTATTTTATCACCTTTTTGTTGATTCCGCTAGCAGCATTTGTATTATTGCTAAATTTTATTTTTTCTTTTAGGTCAAGTTGACAAGCTATCCCGTCTGGTAACAGTCAGTTTGACGTTGACAATTTTGATGCTCCTAGTTTTGGTGCTATTTCTGTGTTTTCAGTTCTACAGATGGAAGGAAAAGAAAAACATCACGATAGCTTCCTTAAGGCAGAAATTTTTTGGAAAAAGAGTAAGTAAAACCCTAACAAAAAAAAATATTATGTTAATAAAAAAAACATGCTTTTTTAATGTTTAATTTAGAATATTTAATTTCTACAATTTTTATTTTCTTCATAGTATACCGAAAATAATACATTTTGTTGTAAAATTATGATTAATAAATTTAGAAACTGTTTAAATATTGATTTTTGCTTATTATAAATAATACGAAGACTAACGATTGTTTTGCGGTTATGTGGGTTTTTTTCAATAGGTGTGTGACATTGCATGGCTATTGTACAGAAAATATTTATCATCACATTATGGTTTTGAATTAAACACACCTATTACATAAATAAATTATGATTTTATGCGAGAAGAAAAGTTTTATAAAGATTTTAGTGATGTTTTTTCAATTCTTAATAATAATCGAAATAAAAACAGCGAATTTTTTAATTATTTAAATATTTCTAGGGATTAAAATAAAGTACTATAGCGAATCAGGGTAACTAATGTCTGGAGATCTTGCCAGCCTAAAAATGTAGCTATGGAATAAATAAAACTATATTGATCTTTTTAACATTACGTGTCAAAGTTATATAAAAATATAAATTATTATTTTGACCCACGAATTATTGGCAATCATTTCTTTTCCCCAGTCAGTCAGATTGTAGTTTACTTAACCAGGGCCGTATCAAGGTACATTTTTTTTTTGAGAGTAGATAAGAAACAACTGAATTGTTTTTTATATATACATCATTATAAACATTTGGTAGGGTAGATAGATTTTGCCAACCGTGTTTGAATTTGAAACCTACTGTCTGGACTTTGATGGGTGGGCTCCCTTTCCTTGAGTCCGGCCCTGTACTTAGCTATGTAAGTATAATGCAGTAAACTTTGGCATTTTCTAAGTAAAAATGGATTTATTCCTCACTATCACAACGTTTTAAATAGACTAAAGTCGATTTTGCATCTTAAATAGGATGATTCATGTCTATACAAAATAAACATTGTACATTTTTATTGACTTTAATATCCATAAAAAAACTTCTATATATTTATATATTCAATTATTATTCTTTTCTCGTTTTAATTAGACACGAAATAATCCAACGGATGTAACGTGAATGCTTTGTGCAACAATAATCTTCAGTGCAATAAATTAAAATTATTTTTTAATATCATATACTTTCTTTTGTTAAACTATAAAATATTGCCACCCATTATAAAAAAATCGCAGGATAAAAAATATGATTTACTTAAAAAATTTTATTCGCAATTAATGTTATCTTATTCAAAATTTAAAAACAATAATTACGTGAATCAAAAATTGAAATTATTTAATAAAAAACCCATCGTTATACAGGTGCTAGTTATTTGATTAGTCATAAAAATATTGATTGTTGTGACTAGAAAAATTTCCCAGTAATGATCTGTAAAAAAATACTTTTGAATATATTCAGAACAATCTACTGTTGAATTATTGTTAGATTAATAATGTTGTGAGTATTTTCTAATAGTATAAATAGCTATTTGTGTATTAAGAGCGAATAAAAATAGATATAGAAACTGAAAATTTGTCGTAAGTAGTGTATAATATGTTGCCTATATCTAAGTTAATCGTGAAAAACGCAATTGATATTCAAAATCAATGTTAACTTGGATAACAAAACAAAAAACATCAAACTACTTACAAGTAACTTAAAAATCATTTAATCTAACTTATTTCTTTAAAAACTTACCTTAACAGCACAACGCACAAACAACAAAAAAGCAAATAGCAAAAACCCACAACAAAAGCAAACTTCCAATTATTTAAAATATAGGGTTGTCTCTGGATATAGAATGAAACAAAATAATATTATATAACATAAAATAACTACATAACCTACTTTATTTCTCTTCTTACAAATGAGTCTTGGACTTTTACAACATAACCCATTTTGTAACTTTTTGTCTAACTTACGAATCATTTTAAACATTTTCAGTCAAATATTTCAAAACTATTTCAGAAATTTGTGCTTGAAAAGTTTGAAATGTTTCCGAAACGTTTCTGAAATATTATGTGCTGTATGGGAGGCCAACACTTAATTTCTTAACATGAGGAGAAAAGGATGGATTACGTGTTCATTTTATTTTAAATAATTTTATTTTATCTTTATGTCCCCTCCCCTTAGTTTTATTTATTAGTTCTCTCTGATTGGCAAGCACCTAAGAGGAGCTTCATGGTTTTTTTTTGGCATAAGTGTTGTTTGTTTTATAAAGCAATATTAATAAAACTATTGTAAGTCAAATAATTCGTTTCAAATCCTTTTTCAAGTACGTATATTTTGTTTCAGTTTAGTGCATTTAAAGGAATTGGTGGAATGAAGCGATGCGCCTTTATATTTTATAAAATATTTATTTGTTTTTTTATGAATCATTGTTTCTTTTTTGTGTATTTTAAATAAAAATTTATATTTTTAAATATCTTTTTTAATCTAATAAGAATATTGTAGTGTAAGAATATTATAGTGATCTATTTCTGAAATATTTCAAATTTAATTTCTGAATTATTACATTTACAGGATATTTGTACATTTTACGAACATTCCAGAAATGTTTCTGAGACGTTTTGTAATATTTTTGCAACATTCCAGAAATGTTTCTAATTAGTTTTGTAATATTTATGCAACATTTAAACTATTGCAATGTTACATTTTTGAAATATTTCTGATACGGTTTTGTGCTGCATGGGCAATAGAGTAGCAACAACTCTCGTTGAGCTGCGGCAAGGCACACAGTGACTGAGCCTAAATAAATAATATTGTATTAGTTTAGAACGTTCGAAACACAATCGCTTAATAATAAATTACACCAGTATATTTTATTATTGCAATTTGACAACTGTATTTTTCAAAGCTAGCTTTGCGGCTACTATGCCATAGTTTTTTCTGAATAGGTAAATATATAATAAAACACAGTGTCTAGGTACACGCTAACTTGTACCCAATTCAAAAAGTTATACACACGCGAAACGTCTTGACAGAGTAGATAAGCTGTGTTTAGGCCGTTGGTGTTCATGTCGGTTGGCGTAGCTAGGTAAGGATTGAAATTTTCTGGTGGCGGCCAAGCAGCCACCCTACGAGAAGTCGTTGCTTCGCTTTCTTGTTTCTTGTTCTTGACGCATTCACACAAACACCTACCACCACATCATAAAATTTTTTTGATTTGTGTACACTTTAGCGTGTACCTAGGAACAGCGTAAATAAAATATAATTGAGAAACAACGTAAAATAATTCTAGCCTACAGTATAAAACTGTTTTTCTACACTCACATGGATATTAGCTTATCTATGCACATATTACAAAACGAAAAAATATGCTATTGCCTTCACCTGACCGAATATATTTCATATCAATTCTAGGTACTAAGAACACTGCAAAATATGAAATCCACCAATCAGCGTTCATATTTTGATCAACCGACCGCTATTATTTTTTAATATTTTATATGACAATTCTGTCAAACTAATTGTCAGTATATTTTTTAGTTATTGAGATTAAACATGCATTAAAATGGATTATTCTTGTGTAGAATCGATAAATAATAGCATTTCTGTATTTATTTCGTCTATAATTATAAATAATTTTTTTATTTAAATAAAACTATATGAAGTCAGTTTAATAACGAATATTACAGCAACAAATATAAAAGAATAGGTAGTCTTGAGGTCAGCATGCTGGTCTTCCACGCGGAAGATTGGGGTTCGATTCTCGGATGGGGAAAAATAAAATTAACATTTTTCTTTTTTCGTTTGTTATTTTAAAAATTTTTAAAAGTCATAAATTATTTTAAAATTAGTTATTTTGTCTTAATAACCTAAAATAATATTTTTATTTGTAAATTTTCCTTAGTGGGTCGTAGAAAAAATATACTGTACAACTCAAGAGGATTGTCCATATCGCCTACGGCGTCGTGCTCAAATTTCGTCTTCGTGGGATATGGCCATCATATCCACATTGTTGAACAAACTACTATTGTATACGCACATTCAACTGTCGATATCCCTATTTTAACATACCGCTTTCACACTATAGATTTCTATTTCTGAATCCTTAGGTATACCTACCTTGTATATCGATAAAAATAGTTTTCTAGTTAACATTAATTATTTATTATTTCAGACTGAAGACAATTCAAGAACAAACGCCGATTCCGACACGACCGTCAGAAAAGGAGAATTAAAGCTAGACATGCCGTCCAATATGTCTCATTCGGAACACAGTCCTGTAACAGTAACGACATCTATCAGTAGACGTCCAGCAGAAGATAGCACTCTTGATTACGCTTACGACAACCCTGCGTTATCACCGTCACGGTAAAAAAGAAGAATGTGGCAAAAATTTGGCCAAGAATATTAATTCTTTAAAAGAAACAATGCTCAGGAAATGTAGGTACTGCCAAACGTAAAGTTTCAGACGTAATAAACTAGAATGGGGTAGAATCCTTGTAAATATGATTGAGCTGAGGCTCTATGGGTGCAAATATTTTATTTTTTAACTTACTTTGAAATATTAATAATTACTGTTTTCTAATTCACTATAAAGAATCCTGATCCACCAGATTATGGATCAAACAAAAATAGTAAGATACAGAAAATGTTTATTATAAAAAAAAATACTCCTGAATGAGATGAACAATAAAAATGACTGCGCCCATGAGTTGCATCTTGTCTTATTAACTCAACGTGCACATTAGCATTCTGTCCCTCTCTAGTTCATTGGTTAGACGTAAAGAAAAAGTCTTTGAAGTTTAATAAATAACAATATTTTTCACAGCTAACTAACAAAATAAATAAAAAAATTGGTTGCTTTGTCATTAATTCTATATATACATTTTGCTATCTACAATGTCAAGGTAACCAAAATGTATGATAATTTTAGTTGATAACAGTGTACTGATTATTGAACTAATTATTTAAATCTTTAAATTCAATTATTTAAAATTTTGGGTTTAACCATTTTCTTGAGCACGTACAAGTTATATTTTTGTTTGTTATTTTTTAAATTGTACTGAGTACCTTTCCATTAATTAGACGAAAATCGTCAATAAATAATATACTTAGTTCGTACTATAAATTTTTAAATATTTTGTATACAGAACGTCTTTTACTCATACGGATAAAAATTAATGAAAATATATTATTGAAATGGTACCTCTGCAGTGTTTTTAAATTCATGCGACAAAATTTAGGAGGTTATTGCTCGTATGAAATTAAGATGGGTCTTTCCTATAACAAAATTTCTTCAGCTCATCCCTTTCCGAGATATCACCCTTAAAAGGTGGTGACTAAAATTGAGTTTTTATTTTTTTTCTAAAATTTCAGTACAGCTAGAAACTTGAAATTTTGTAATTTTCGTGCACTTGCAAAGAACTAACCACGGGTATTTTTTCAATATTTCTGTTACATTATAGGGGGGGAAATTAGCAACCCTTACTTTATTTCATATCAAAACTTTTTTTGAGATGAAGTTTTATAAAATAAAATTATAACTTAAAATCCTTGTTTTGTTTAAAAAATTTTTTATTCCTAAATTTTTTTCCCAAAACCAATAGCTACACAGAAAAAAATAAACACCTATTTTATAATTTTTTATAATTTTTTAAATAAATTGAGTGGAAAACAGTAAAGATGTAAAATGTAATACGATTCATAATAAATGCTGGAAATGATCACCTCTAGCCAAAATACATTTTGGAAAAAAAAAAACAAAAACTCAATTTTAGTCACCACCTTTTAAGGGTGATATCTCGGAAAGGGGTGAGCTGAAAAAATTTTGTTATAGGAAAGACCCATCTTAATTTTATACGAGCAATCAGCTCCTGAATTTTGTCGCATGAATTTAGAAACACCCTGTATATGTATATTTTTTAATTATTATTAGAAAACTAAAGAAATGGTTTGATAAAAACAAAAAACTTACAATTACCTGATTGGACAATCTGTATACAAAGTAGGTAGCTCAAATTTTAATTTCAGACGTATGGTATTTATAATTTATTAGTGTTTACTATATCTACTTTTTATTAACTACATATTTAAAGGTTTGTGTCTTATTGATAAGAGATTATTTATTTTTTAAATATCGATTTAATAATAATAAATAATTACATCTATCAAGTAGCCTCCGATTACTATTAGTCTTGTTTCTACGGTAAAGTCAAGTTGTTATTTTATAAAGAAATATGCATTTTATACAAAAAAGTATCATTCAAAACTTGTTTATCTTAAGATTACCCGCACGTTGTCAATTTTAAAAATTTATTTTTATTTCACAAATCGAGTAACTTTTTTATTTACAACTTTTACAAGAATATTCTATATTATGAACACTGTAGATGATAATTTCATACAGCTTTATACGTATCATTTTGAATATTCATAAATACCAATAGGCATGTCACTCAAATCTATTTACAATAAAGGCGATGAAGTTGCTACAGCCTGCCAATTTTCCAGTTCTCCTTCAGTATCATCATCAAATATCAAGTACAATTTGTAAACTCTTCGCTTGCCTCGTCGATTGACATAGAAACCGTTTTTAGCTTCAAATCGTTTACTACTAATAAATTCATCGTTCGCCATTCCGTTTGATTGTCAGAACGTATCGGCGTTTGGTATGCAGTAATTGTTTAATTCATTGAATTTTGTAAGCGGATAGGGGAGGGTAGGCAACGTGAGACGTTTTTTGTTTAAGGTAGTATGAGCAGGTAATGGGTAAATAATAACTGTAAATAAGGATTCCATGTTATAAAGAGATGGATTATCTATAGGATATCATATAGTAACTTTATTAAATAAACACGAAAATTGTATTATAAACATTAAAAAATTATTGTAAATCGTCTCACTGTATACCACAAAGTCGGGTATAGTAAGACACATTTAATATAACGGTAAAAAATTAAGTAATATTCGAAACTGTGAATAAAATGGTAACCAATAAAGTAATATTTGAAAATGGTAATAATTAACGAATATTAATATTATCGAAATTAACAGAGAAACAGAGATATCTGCTTAATCATTTCGTCTGCATCCTATTCGGTGCGGGCAATAGCATGATAATGTCAGACAAGTTTACCATTGCAATATCTGGAACATCTGGAAAAAACCCATTTACTCTGTCTCGTTTTCGTAGAAAAGAGACGTTATAATCTTCTGCTGCATCTTTATTTGTAGATATTTGGGCCACATAATGCACTTGATTGGGAAACCGAACAACAACATAATAATTTATAGCAGGTTCTCTGTCTAATTGTTCAATTTCTAAAAACGATTCAGTCATCTGAATCATTTAAAAGCATCTAAAAACGAATATTTTGAAGAAAAAACATCACAAACTCTTAAACAACTGTATGTGCCTTACCTCAGAATCTGATACTTCGTTTGACGATTCGGAGCTTTCCTTACTTTTGGTATTTCTTCTTAGTTGCTTGTTGTTCATTGAAAACAAGTCCTTGGTTACCTTTTGTTTTTTTCGTTCAATTTCCTTTTGTTTTTTTAATTCTCTTTGTAACGACAATTCAGCAATAAGTGTTTTTCCGGTGTATCTGTCATAATGACACTTTTTCCTCGTTTACGACCTTGAACTGTTTGTTTTCTCGGTAATGCTTTAGGATACCCTCTGAATGCTTTAGGAGAAACGAAAATATTTTCTTCTTGTGACATATTTGCAACAGTTTCTTTAGATGTGGTAGAAACATTAGTGGAAATGGGTTCTTCGGATATTGAAGCTATTTCTGGAACATCTAAATGTGCAATACATCTGCGTGAAATGAAGGTGATTGAGGACAATCTGTAACGGAGGAAGTTAAAAAGCATGAAAAAGTCTGTTAAGCGCTAAAATACCCGACTTTTTAAACCCTGCAATGATGTTGTATGGAGTAACTGTTTTTGGTAGTGCTTAACCGAAACATTCAGCTGCTTGATAAATTGTTAGGGAAATGCCAGGATGGGCAAGAAGCCAGTTATCGACAGCTTCATTATAATACGCTTTTAGAGGTGCGTAAATAGACACATCTAACGGTTGGGTCTTATGACTATTGTGGGGAGGTATAGACAGAAGTGTTACTCCATTCTCCTTGGCTATATTTAACGCTATCATGCTTATGTGCGATTCATGGTTATCGCATATAACTAAGGTTGGATTTTCTTTGCTGCTGCTGGTATATTTTATACAGTGGTTTAAAACTTCAGGAAACAACTCCGTTGTCATCCAACCAGATGGACTAGCAAGTCCAAGTGTTCCTGCTGGAGCTCCTGTAAGCATGTGTTGTTTAAAATTGTTTCTTGGGAACACAAACACTGAAGGAATAAACGTACCTACTCCTGAAATAAATACGACAGCAGTTATTAGTTGCCCTCGTTCAGCACTAGTACATTTATTTAATTGTTCAACTCCTTTCTTGGCGACAACTTTTTTAGGTTTCTAAACCGTTGTCAGTCCTGTTTCGTCAAAATTATATATACGAGAACCATCCGATATCTGTGGTAGCCTTTCGTAGACCTTTTTCAAATTATCAAATAACATGTTAATGTTGTGATTATTAAATGAGGTTAGCCTCGATAGACTGCACGCTTCAGGTTTTCTAATGCTTAAGTTGCCGTTACGATGTAAAAGTCCTCTTAGCCAGTCTTTACCTGCACTTTTATACTTTTTCCAAGCATCAGGTATTTTTAACTTATTTATTAGCGCCATTTCGTATGCCAATGTTCTCAACTCTTTTGTTGACAAACCATAAGCCATTGTACTACATTCTTCGAGATACTCAGCAAGGTCTTGTTTTTGTTGTGTAGTAAAAATTTTACGAACTTCATAATGTGGTGTGGTTCTTTTGTTACCCTCTGGATTTATTTTTGCCTTCTTAACGTACCTATGTAGCGTTTGAAATGCAATATTTGTTTCTTTTGCTGCTTTTCAAATAGACATTTTTTGTTCAATAACTAAATTAATAGCTGCAGCCATTTGCTCTGTTGACGTTTTTCTAATTTTTCGTTGCGTATCTTTTGGCCTTCCCATTTTCAGAGAAAACTGAAAAAAAATTGAAAACTTGTGAGACGTCCTATAACCCTATGGTACACAGTGAGACATCGTCTCACTGTGTACTACCTTGTAGTGTCTCAGTGTGTACATTTGCAGGTAAAAACTAAAATGGCTGCCAAATATTTAAACATAATATAAATTAACTTTAAACTATAAATACATTTGGTTTGAAACATTAGCTTTAAAGGTACTTACTCAATAAATTTTCAAAAGCATTTTCTGACACACCAAAAGGTCTATAAAGTCAACAAGTACGTAAATTTCAATGTAAAAAACTGCTAGTTGATCACCTCACGATAACGACTGAACATCAACTAACAGGAGTAAGAGGAAGTGACTGCGTATATAAAAATTAACTGACGGTGTTGTCAAACCTCAAAAATCTCAAACTGTCTTAAGAAAAAATGGAGGTGTCTCACTGTGTACGCCGTCTCACTGCAGCCTACCTTCCCCTACTGATTGGGGTAATATCTGAGTGATTCTACAGAAGCAGGCAATACAGGGGAAAATTTTGAAAAATTACTTTACTGCAAAATACAATACTACCTGGATCAAGATCACGAAACTAAGATTGCATTTCTTTTAGCCAAAATAAGAATCCTATTGATATAAAAAAAAAACACCAGAATGGATTTAAAAAAGTATTAATAAACAAAATTGCATTTTCCTTTGAAAACAAGGGCAAAATTAAAAATCTTGTAAACACAAAACTTGAAACCTACATTTTTCAAATAATTACTCCTATTTACCATTGCTGAACCCAATAAGCTTCTTATCTGCAAAACAATATTTGTCCCTTCTTAGTTTCTTTGGCACTGGTAAAATATTTTTAATATCACCTCGAATTACAAACTCTTTGTCTGCTGCTTCAGGCCAATCGAAAACAAAATTTTCTTTTTTGGAAGTAAATATTCTTCTTATAAAATCAACTATTACGGTTTCATCCGCAGAAATACTTTGTATTTTTCCAACCTAATAGACTAAAATTGATATTTTTTCGTCCAAATTAGCACCTCTAAAACTACGTGTTGGCGACTTGTAGTGTATAATCACGTGACATACATTACTCGCATCGCTAATTACTGACAACTGAGTCAGCGGTCTCTTTCCTTCTACTAAATAATGATATACAATGTTGCCAAATGAAATAGTTTGGCGTTAAAACAACAAGATCCATGGAAATGATGGTTCCTGGTGTGACAACACTTTAACTTCGAATTTGAAAATGATCAAAATAATTTAAATCAATTACATGCAAGAGTATAGATTATTGATTAACTTAGAGGATAGTATTGAAAGAACTACCCATTCTTGTATCTTTAACAGCAAAATAATATCTTGTGTTTCAAAACGTTCGGTGTGACAGTCCACGGTAATGATTATTGGAATAGATCTATTTTTGAGTTTTTTTAATTGTTCTTTAAAATATACTGGGATACAGCTGCTAATAACCCTTAAACAGATACCCTGTATTATTCTAATAATTACCAATTTATAATACTACCCAGATCTGCTTCCAAGAATGTTCAGTTGTTAAATTATTCAAATTCTCTATTCTCTATAAAAAAATACTTTTATCGCGAATTTGCAATATATTAGTTCATTAAATTAATGTAAATTATGCAATTTTTTTCGAAATCCAATAGACACCAACCTTTTTTTTAACTCATTGTGTTACACTGAAATTATATCGAATAGAAAGATTAATATTAAAATAAACATTGTAAAGTTAGTTTGTAAAACTGGCCACACGGCAAATTGTACTTAATTATGTAGGTATTTAGATAATAGTTTATTAGTTTGTTCATGCAAAGTTATTCTTTTACTATTTATACGAGGAGTCCAGAAAATAAGGGGACAGAGCTCAATGATAGCTCATTAGGATCAAATCTGGGAATTAAACCAAATATACTTAATTACAAAAGGCTAAGAATGTATGGTGTTCTAAAGAAAACGAAAGTATTAGTAGAATTTATCAAACATTGGTACATATTTGTTACCCCAGAAGTGACCTAACATTGTGAATGTAGGTACTCATATGGAAATTTCCTTCTGGAATATATATTTCAAACCAAACAATTTCAACATATTAAGGATCGGTCTTTTCACCTCTGAATAAAGTTTACATATAGGTTTATTTGACAGAATAATAAACAATTAGGCATTCCAACGACCTGTCCAAATGGCTACCAGTGGGGACTGACAGTTTAGATATGGCAACCCTGTTGTCATTAACAGGGTCAATGATACATATATAGTTATATAGATTGCTCAAAGCTGGTCGTTTGCGAGCGACCATATTGCCTGGCAAATATTTATTAATTTGAATTGGTTTAGCAAAAATGTGTTTTAAAAGCCATTTTCAGCCTTTAGATATTTAAAAAATAATAATTGCTAACGTTTTTACTTTAAGGCATAAGCTTATGTATATTTTGAAAAATATGGATGACTAATCTATGTAACTATCTATTTCATTGACCTTGTCAAATCACCAGGCCTACAGGGTTGCCATAATTTTGCCATATCATAACCTGTTAAAACCCACTGATAGCTATTCAGTTTGGAATGCCTAATAGCCCTATAGTTTAATTAGCAAGTGGTTAAAATGACTTCTGCGCTATGCTCTGGCTTCTCTTCCTTTCTACCACTACCTGTTTTTCCTGTTTCTCATCCACTCTACCCTGCTACTCTCCTACCTGCTATCTGCTACTTTTCCTCTCTACTTACATGTTTATATCTGTTGATGATCCCTTTTTTTTCTTTACCTTTTTATATAACTCTATTTATTTCATAACAAATAGAAATCTAACAAATTCCTTTAAATAATATATCTTAACCTTTTCAAACCCTTTGACTTTCCCTTCGTTTATTTGACAATCTTCCTTTCAAAAAACCTCGACCAGGCCTCGACATAAAACAAAGTTGTTTCTATCACAATTTTTAAACTGACCCGATATTGCTGCTAAATTTTGACAACAAAATTTTTCTTTTATGTATTCATTTACCTTCTAGAAATTTCCAAAACAGTTTATGTATTACTGCATATTCTAGAGGTCGTTGTCAGCAGATATCGTTATTTTTTTCTCATAATTCAAATTTGTGATAAAGATTTTTTACTTAAAAAGAGTTTACTTTTTTCAAGACATTACACTATCTTAAAGTGCATCAAGTAGTAACTTTTGTAAGTACATTTGGTTTAATAAGCATCAATAACGTGAACTGTCAATAACAATCTGTCCCCTTCGACATCAAATGAGCCGACTTAAGCTCTATTGTTTTATTATTACTTGTACTTGAATAATTTTTATTTATAAATATGTAATCTTACTAAATAGCAATAATAATACAGTGCTTGCAAGATGAAGCCTTCTGTCCTGCTTTGCTTGTGTTAGAATAAACAGTGTAAGAAATGATACAGTATCAAGCTTGCCGGTCACAGGTCGAATTAGGGATGAATCACGCTATCTATCTGTAACCCCAGAGTAACCGACAACATTTATACCTTTCCGCTTCTGCGCATGCGAACGTCAGTTACTATTAACGCCAACATAATCAAAGCAGATTCAAAGGTTTTAATTGCCCCAGCACTGTAAAAGTAGATATTTATTTTTTTATGTGCAATAATTATACAGTGAGCGGCTAGATTATAAAACCAACTCAATTTTTTAAAAATCCTGAAAGAGTTCGATTGTTGTTTTTAAACGAAAATAGCTGTCATGGGATTTCAACTTACATTTTTTGTAATATAATTGTAATTTTTACGTTGTTTTTGTTACCTTTTTATAAAATCTAAGAACCAATTAGTTATTTGCTCTTATAAAACCTCTATAGCACCTAAATAGAGAATCTTATAAAGGTTATTGACCAATTATTAGTACCAAATAAAACTTCTACTCCCAAGCTGTTTTGTAGCTGAAAGGATATTACCTTTATAAATTTAATACAGGTTTTATAACGGCAACAAAACGTTTTCGTTACTATTAAAAAATCCAAACATTGTTTATAAACTCTATTATAAAACATCAAGAAAAATTGAGCTTTGCTTACATTACTTTCTACTTTGAGTAGATTTGTAACTTAAATTATATTTACTATTTAAAGTTGTCAGCATTGTCAATTGCCACTCATCAGCCATAGAAAATTACATTTTTGGTATTACATTGTGCCACGAAAAATGTATGGTATATTTTTAAATGCTACCTATTAAAGTGCCTTCATTTGAGGCATTTTAAAACAAATGTTTATTAAAAATCTGATAATTATAATTTTATTTTTTTTTTTTCGATTAATGTTGTTTATACTTTTATTTATTTCGAACAAAAAACATCAAAATGGCTGTCAATAAAGACCCACTAAAATCGTCATCTTGGTCTTTTGAAAACTTATAATGTTAAGTGGTCGTGAAAGTAATTTTAAAAAACTTTTATAATACTTATATAGTTTTTCTGATACACATAGTTTTATAGGATACGTATTTATAAAAACTGTAAGTAACCAATAAATATAACGATCTAACTTTTAATTGATATTAGAAAACAATCAAAGCACATAACCTATAAGTTTTATAATATACCTTAGTTGCTTCAATATGTATTGGAGTTTTTACGGAGTAAGCTATAAAACTCCTAGAGTAAAAGTTTTAAAATGAGGTTTTCAAGAATACTATAAAACCTTCTTATAAAACAAAGTAATCAACACTAACGGATTTATACATAAAGTAACCAAACTGTTTTCATACATACCTTACATAACTTGTTACACCCATAGTTTTGTTATAAAACTAGAAAAATCGCAATAAAACTTAAATTTCTTTACAAAACCATTATAAATATCAGTTAGCTTTTAATAGCATCTTAAGTGTCGCAAAATGTTAGTTTAGATACCACATTTGAGAGGTATTTTGATTTTAAAGCGATTTATTTAATATGAAATTAATTCAATACAAAACTTTTTTAAATGAAGGTGCATTCTTTATTTGAATATTTTATTGCAGTTTGGTTATAGTTAAAAAGGAACTAAATTTTTCTCCGTACTGTATGCAAATAAATTCCATAAACATTTATATTGCTAAATAAAGGATGAAAATAACTTTCAAATGAGGTAACACATTTCAGCTGCTTCTGTTTAAAAAATTCAATGTAGAAGGAAACGCAGGCAATTAAACCTGTTTGAGGATTTTCAAAAATTTTAGTTGTTTTCACAATTTAGCCTCTCACAATACACAAACTTTTAACTTATATCCTTCCTGTATAAGTGATTGAAATAAGGAAAAAATGGTTTTAAGTTTGTGTTTATGGATTTAGGTAATGGTGCTATAATACATCTGAAACCGTATTTATCTAAAATATTATGTTGTATAGACTGAACATGAATTTTAATAAATTTTGACTCGAATTGTCATTAAAATAATAAAAATAGAGTGAAAGCACCATAATATTTTATTACATTTTAGTAGGCTTTTAAATTTATAATTTAATAGCATATTATTGTTATTTTAGGTTATATTAATTTAGGAATTGTTTCCTAAAAGCCCTATTGGCAGCTAACAAAGTACTTAACACTCGAATATAGAGTTATTCCATACATTACATTCCATTATAATATAAGCTATATGTACTTAATTTTATAATATATTTTTAATTATTTTTTATTTGTCATAATATTTAATTATTAGTTTTTTTAATGTGATAAATTTTCTTAAATAACATTTATTATTAATTTTAGTATAATTTGTTTATAAATTAAGCTTTCATGTACTTAATGTTTTGTTGCTTTAGTTTCTATTTTTTTGTTATTGTTTATTTTTTTGTCTTTAAGACAAAATTTGTCCTTTATCGCGTCCGTCCACTATTATATTATGTTTAATTTTTAGTTTTTAAAATATTTGTCGATTTTAATTGTTATGATATATCTTATAAATTGTTTAAATAAAGTACTTAACTAAACTACCCGAAATTTTAATATAACTCTTATTTAAAAGAAAATAGTGTCCAGGTAGCAAGTAACGCTTTTAAAGAGGTTAAAAAAAGTTAGCCTGGACATTTGGTGAACGTTATATGTAACGTTTGCCAAACGTGAGAATGTTAGAAAAATAAAATATTAATTTTAAACGATTGGCAAATAACCTAAAACGTTTGGTAAGGTCAAATTTATGGGTATCTGAAAACAAATCAAAAATAAAAAAACATTTTAAAAAATATTATTTTATTAACAGAAAACTAATACATATCTAATACATATACTAATAATAATAATTAAACCAATTTTTTTTTTATTAAACTGACACATCTAACTTTTTAGTTTTTTTCTGGTTGAACCATTGGTATCTTTTATTAAACATTCACCAATCAAATGATATATATTAAGCTGCCCATGTCCACATCAAAGAAACAGACAAAAACATTGTGTTGGTGGTGTCTGTAACCTGTTTATAGAAATACCAAGGAAACTTATTTCAGTCACAGCTGAATATCATTGTGTTGATATATAAAAAAAAGTTATGTCTATTCAGTCTGCACTGCCCATGTAAGATCGATGTTTTATGAATCTACTTTTCAGAATCTTCTTGGAAGATACCTAGAACATTCGAAATATATATATATAAATTAGAATAGTAGTGTTATAAAATAAATAAGTCTTTAAATAAATTATTAATAAATAAACTGTTGTTTTAAAATAAACAAACATCACAATATCTTCCACAAGCCGCAGTGCGGTACAATTAAAAAGCAAAGTAGTAGGTCCTTCTACATTCTTGGTTCCTCCTCACTTCCGTCATTAAGTATTTTGATGTTTCTTCTACTTTTCTTGCCTTCTCTTGCCAAATATTACCCAAATATCACATCTAATGGCATGTGTCAGCTGTCAAAGTCACTACACTACACGTATAGTGCGTTCTGAGTGCATTATCACTTTTTTTTATATCGATGATAAACAAGGACACAAATATACTTCGTGCGTACTGCTACTTTCAGTGAAAAACGTTTTATCATTTCGTTCCTTTCGAAATATTGAGAAGACGATGAATGTAAACCTCGGTTCGCTTCTGATTTGTACTTTCTAAACTTATGTTATTGAAACTCTATGAAGTTTTGAAATACATTTTCGGATAATTTGATTTTCATAAGTTACATAGTACCTACCTTCATTCATAGTTTAAAAATACACCTAATTGTTTGTTCAAGAATTTTTTTAAATTTAATGTAAGCACGATTTATTCCCCATTTTTAACTCAAATCAATTACTTAATTGTTATTCACACTACCCATTGGCTTGTTAGTTTGTACTTTACTATATCGGGTCGGTGGCGTAGTTGTTTAACGTGCTTATATTCATTTGTAGGCAAGTTTTTGGTCAAGGACAAAGCAGCTTCGAATCCTATAATAGACCATTTGGATTTTTCATTAAATTGCATGGTTCGTTATAGGATTTGATGTGTGCTGTATTAATAGAAAATCAATTTCTGTTGATATGATATCCAGATTATAAATCATCACTCGATGATGGTGGGTGAGGTTTTCCGGACTTTTCTCCTCTGTGAGTCAAATGGCGCCATCAATCCTGTTTAAGTCACCCCAGAGCGCCACGGCAAAAAATAATTAATACCGTCCCTTCCCCTACACAAGTCTCTCAGACGGCTTCAAGTATTGAAATTCACTCGTGAGGGCGTGAATTAGGGACAGTATTATTATTATTATTATTAATATAATAAAAAAATTCAGTGCAAAAAAATTATGGCTAATCGCAACAAATATAATAAATACTATATAAAGAAAATGTAAATGGAAACTTTCAGACAATAATAAAAATTATCAATTATTTTTTACGATAGCGCTAACAATCTTTTAATAACTGTGATAATTATAACTGTAAATATCAGTATCAATAAAATTGTAATCATTTATACAGGGTGTCAAGTACCTATGTGTATATTAGTTAATAAAATAATATTTAATATGAATCAACTATTAAGTGTTTTCTAATCTATGCACTTTGATTTACAAATATATATAAATATAATACACAATAAATTATCAAGTAGGTAACATATTAATAGTACCTATATTATTCAACGAGCAATATAATTATTGTTTTCAGCTTTTTTTGAGGATGACAGAATAATAACCGTTTCTTCTAGTTGAATACTATGCTTTTTATTCTACCCAATACTCAATTTACATTTAATATTTAGATAGATATCCATACGTAATAAATATAAATTATTAGAGGTAAGGGGAGCCATATGGAAGTTATAGGTATAGAGCACAGATAACAGAGATATAATCAAGAATAATTCGACAATTGATACACTCTATTGTAGGGACGCAGCGAGGAGACAAAAGGTGAGAAGTAAGAGAGGGGATAAAGAGAAGAATTTTTAAAACAACTTATTTTTATCAATTAATAAATGTGTAAGACGCTGTGCGCTTATAATAAACAACGTAAATATCCATGCCGGTGTAAGCTCTGTTGCCACTTCCAACCTAACATGAACAGGTGTTGGAATTTATTGAAAATGATTACATCTAATTTTGTGAAAGAACATCTAATTTAGTTAAATTTAATATAACTAAGGATTTAACATTTTTGGGTTTAGTTGCAATAAAATAGGTTTAATTATTTTAGCTTTTTTAATGTGTAAATAATTTTGTAAACAAAACGAGAATAATGAAATGTGCATATGACAACATGCAGCGGATATTATACCCTCCTGTGTCCCTTAGAATATATCTTATTCAGGATATTTGTTAGCAGTTACATCTCCTCGTTATCTCTGGTATAGAATAAGAGTAATGAAAATAAGTCCTTTAATTCCTACAGTTTTATTTATTCAGTGACCAGTTCTGATGTAGTTACATCACCAGGCAAATAAAAATTTGACACAAATAAAAAATTTAGAACGAAAAAGATTTATAAATTAATTATAAATTTAACCTACCATAACATATCCATTAAGCCCAAGTTCAACGCGTTGTCAATGACAAGTGACGGCGACTTTTTTATCACAAAAAATACAGCTCTGAAGGATAATATTTTTAGAAATTGTTTTTAGAATTGTTTTTAGAATTGGTTTCAGAGTACTATAAAAAATGGTTGAAAGTCTATAGTTAATTTCAATTATAATGCATATTTTAATTAGTGATATTTAACAAATATTTAAAAGTTATGGACTTTCCATCCTTTTTTATAGTATTTAAAAAATAAAACGCAAAATACATACTTTTATTTTTGCCTAATTATTTCAGGAAACTTGTATTAGCTTTATTCGCGGTAAGAATCCTAAACCGAATTATTACTAACAGTAACGATTTCGCAGGCGCAGTAGTGAAAAAGCGTTCGCGGAACAAAAAGAACTGAACTATTGGTTTTATTCTGCATTTGCGGTAAAATTATTATTGGTTTTGAACCGCTTGTCTATACCTGAAACACCGAGATATAATAGGGATTGGGCGCGCGGTAAAAATTCAGAATTGATAATGATTTGGGCATGCGCTCAAAGTATGAATTAGTAATTCTGAATTAGTTCAGGATTGTTACCGCGAACGAAGCTATAAAGATTTACCAATTATTGTAGATCCAAAAAAAGGTTTGTATTCGGTTTCTATTTTATTTATTTCCTTTATTTGGCTAGTTTGCTAATATCACAACTTTGATAAATTGATAATTTAAGTATTGGCACATGGTCTACTAACTGTATAGATTTTCCTCCAATTTCCCATATTGTTTATCCAACAATTGCATATAGTTATTACTTTTAGCAAAAACATAGATAAGGACTTCATCAGCAAACAGGTAAATGTTATATTGACCCTTGCGACATCAGCAATATCATTGATATCAATTAAAAATAACAGAGGACCTAATTTTCTTCTATGTAACACCTTTGGTGTGGTTAATTTCTTCTGATCAGGAAAGCGATTCTTATGTGCGAACTCGACACATATTATATAGAATAGAGAGAGAAATTACATTAAAATCGCTCTTTGTCGAACAAAGATAGTCGTCACGATGAGAGACATATCGAAAGATGAGAACTCTACTGCATATATTATTTAATTTTAACCTGTGTAACCTGGGCATCGCCAGGATGTAAATGTTGCACTATATTAAATTTGTATGGAAGATACTTATATTTCTTCAAGATCCTCTTAGCGTCCGTTTTTGACACACCAATTTCCTTTTCATTTTTTCTACATAAGGTATTGCTTCTATATATCCCAAAGTATCTATCCTTTTTCTTTCTCTATGCTCTTTGCTGTATGTTTTAGGACGCGGACAAACAAATCATCCGTGCTGAACTAAATTTTATTATAAACGAGCAAATGCTAGTCGCGTCAAATTAGCATTTTTTCTGCAACTTTTTGCGGAGAGATTCGATTCAGATGCAGTTTTCTGCAAAATGTTCAGGAAACCGTCTATAACAAAAGGTATATCTACCCTCTGTACACTCGCAAATTCTTAATTGTTTATTTAATAAATGAGGCATTTTTGTTAGAGTATTGATGAATATGTGGCAAATGTCATACACGATTCAACGAAAATGTCTGAAAAATGTTTTCTCTGGGGGTTTCGAGGTCCCTCTTAATCACTTTGGCGTCAAATTTATTATTTATTGCTAAATTGTTGTAACTTGGCTAATTAACAAATTAATATCTCAACCCCCGAAATCACTAGAGAATCACAATTTTTTTCAGCATTTTTGGCTTGTTAAGGCCAGCACAAAATTTTTGCAAACATAATTAGAAATTATTTATTTATTTTAGAAATTATTTATTTAAAGAAATAATTAATGCACACATATTTAGTCATGCATACTCGATAAAGACTTGGTCTTTGTATGAATTAAATAACAAACAGGTTTTTATTAAAAAATACAAAATATATATATATATATATATATATATATATATATATATATATATATATATATATATATATATATATATATATATATATATATAATAACACATTAAACTAAAACTAAAGATTAATACATATAATATGATCATATTCCAGAAATATTTGAAGAAGTATTGTAAAGGTGTGGGCATTCAATTAATTCATGAATAGTTTCACGAGGTATTTCAGTTATGTATTTTTTTAATGCCCTTTTAAAGTGTAATTTATTTGTAATATTTAGAATATCACGTGGTAGATATGAAAAAAATTTAGATCCTAGATACTCATGTGACTGTTGTCCTATAGATTTACTTGTTGTAGCTGGTAAGTAGTTATAATTTTTATTTCTGGTATTATAATGATGTTCATTTAATCTTAGAGTATGCTTATTTTTGTGTTCTGAAGCACTTTGTAAGAAAAATAATTGTCGAGGATCTAGAACTCCTATGTCATGATAAAGCGCGTGGGGTAAAGTCTATCCTTTTTAAATAAAATTTTTAAAAGTCTCTTTTGACAGATTATAAGATTATTTAGATGAGTTTTTTTAACAGCGCCCCAGGCTACTATTCCATATGTAATATTAGATTCAACAAGCGCATAATAAACCGTTTTTAGCTGGGTAAAGTTAAGTATATTCTTTAGGCTATTGAATTTATAGATAAGATAACGTATTTTTTTCAGGAGGTACTCAATATGTTTGTCCCACCTAAGGTGACTATCCAGAACTACCCCTAGATATTTGAATTTATATGTAACTTTTATTTGAAAGTCATCAATAACAGTAAGATTACTGTATGTTGGAAGATCAGATATATTAGCAGAGATGGGTAAAAAAATGTTTTACTCTCATTTATTGTTAGCAGGCGGTTTTCAAACCAGGATGTAATTAATTGAAGGTCTTTTTCGACTTTTAGCTTTAAATCTTTCCATGTGTTATCTGTATATATAATTACCGTATCATCAGCGTATATAATAATGTTGCCTGCACTTTTTATAAAAAATAAATTGTTTAAATAGATGTTGAATAATATAGGACTGTGCCCTGCGTTACCCCATACTCCACATCCCTTAGATTACTGTGTATATTATCAATTTGAACACGCTGAGGTCTATTAGATAAATAGCTTTTAAAAAATTTCAGTGTTTTACCTCTTACACCAATATTATCAAGTGACTCAAGGAGCAAAGCTTGGCTAACTGTGTCAAATGCCTTTGATAAGTCTATGAAAACACACAAAGCAGGCCGTCTGCTATCTACAGATTTGTACATTTCTTTAGTTAATTTTAAAATTGCATCTTGAGTTGAAATACCTTCTCTGAAACCGAATTGATTATTAGATATAACACTATATTTATTTAAGTATTCACATAGTCTAGTTTTTATGAGCTTTTCAAATATTTTGGAGAAATTAGTTATTACGGAAATTGGTCTATAGTTTATTATTTTTGTCTTATCTCCGTTTTTATAAATTGGGAATACAATGGCTTCTTTCAAACATGACGGAAAAGTTGACTGTTCGATACATTTATTAAAAATATCCGCGAGCGGTTTAGCGACCCAGTGTGTGATTTGTTTTAGGGTTTCAGATTTAATTGTATCGATACCTGGTGCTTTTTTGTCTTTCAGCTGATTGATTATAGTTTTAACCTCGTGCTCGTTAGTTGCTCGAAGAAAAAGAGAGTTTTTAATTGAAATTGTATTTGGTTGATAAGTAGGATCATTTGTTATTTGATCTGCTAGTTTTTTTTCCTATATTTACGTAATTTTTGTATATTTTGTTTACTATAATTTTTTTGTCATAGATAAATTCGCCATTACCGATTATTTTATTGATAATACACAGTTTCTTATTCTTACATGTAATTTCCTGAATAACAGAGCACAGTTGCCTTGAATCATTACCTGATTTATTTAATTTACTTTTAAAATATGTTTCTTTTGTTTTACTGACTAGTGTATTGACTATTTCTGACGTTTCTATAAATTTCTTTTATTCTGTCATTGTTTGGCAATTGCAGTAGGCTTTGATAGAGTTTATCTCGATTTTTAATCATTACACTAAGTTCTTCAGTCATCCAGCTTTTCCTTTTTTTAATTTTTTTTCTAATACTATAAGTACAGTTTTCTATTTCAATATTTACTATTTCAATAAAATTGTTTGTTGCATAGTTACAATCATTGCAGTTGTAAATTGAAGCCCACTTTTCTTTACTTAATCGCTTATTTAGTTTTGTATAATTTATGCGTTTAAATCCGGTTTGAGTTTTATTACTTTGTGAGTTGTAATTTTGTTGATATATGATTTGATTAAATATACTATAGTGGTCTGTCAAATTGGTTTTAATTATTATTGGAATGCAGAGGTATTCATCTTGATTTGTTTTTAAAATATATATGATCAATACAAGATTTGCTATCATTAACACATCTTGTAAATTCATTAATTGTTGACATATCCATATTCATGCATAATATTTAAATTGTTTATTGTTTGATTGTTGCGACCTCGCTAATTAAAAAATTAATAACTCGGAATCGTTAGAAACCCAGAATTTTTTTGGAATAACTCTGGGATTATGAGGAGAACCATTGCCAGAAGGTTGTTGCAAATATATTTGTTTATTTTTGAATTGTTGCAACCTGGTTAATTAACAAATTAATAACTGCCATTTAACAAAGTTCAGAACACTGGTGTTTCTTCTATAATGCAATGGGAGCTATTTACAACTCGTAGCCAAGGGCTTTAAATTGTTCTTGTATTGAAACTATGTAGGTAATGGAAGGTTACTTGAATAATACAATAATGTATTATTAATGATTGCTCTTAATTGGCAAAATACCATGCACGTACTGATAAGCTTTACATTGGAACAAATATTCTTAGTGCACGTCTTTACAAAAACTTTCGTCAATTTGATCTGTTTCGAAATAGTCAACTACAGAATTATTCTTGGGGGATAATGTCAATGATCGGTGGAGGTACAGAATCAGCAGCAGCAGCCGGATCGCCATCGTCTGCATCTTCTATAAGTACAGGTTTGCAGTTTTTACAATCATTCACGGCACAATTCACACACGCTTTAGTCCAATATAATCCCGCTTTCCTGCACCCACAGCCTGTGGTTGTGCATGAATATGACCTGTTGTAAAGAAGATGGGGCAGCTTCATTATTCATCGAAATCGGTTTCTAAAAATTCTTCCTAGTATCGAATTTCCAGCCCATCACTGGGGTACAAAATGTTTCCCATCCAGCATTGAATTTGGAGACAAACTTTCTTGATGTGTTGTAGAGCTGCATATTCAGTAGGTGGTAAAGAGCACAAGAGTACTTTTGTCTTCTTAGATGCTACATTTTTGCAAAAATACTCAAATCTGAAGTCATTCAATCCTATGTTATAATTTTTTGCACCGCACAAAGCCAAACTAAATTTTATTCCATTTATAATAAGGTCGTGTAGATGAGCAACAGGTTGTTTAAACAATTTCCAGCATCTTCTAATTCTGTAGATTTTTTTAATATTTCGGCTAGTTTAGTCTTTCCTTTTCCATAGAACGCAGATGTTGTATCACATCCTGATATAGCGTATAAGAATAAAATATTTTCTTTAGCTACTGGTAAATGATCTAAACTTTTAGGTGAATAAGTTGCACCAAGTGTTTTACCTTTTGGTGGCTTGATGCAAAGTATCTCTTTGTTGTCTGGTGTTAATGCCACCAATATCACTAAAACATCTATGTCCTCCGCAACAATAGCTACTTTTAAATCGGATGCAGAGATGTTTGGTTCGCCTTAACAAGCCAGAAATGCTGGAAAACATTCCAGTTCTCTAGTGATTTCAGAGGTCGAGTTTTTCATTTGTTAATTAGTCAAGTTACAAAAATTTTGCGATAAATAATAAATCTGACACCAAAGTGATAAAGAGGGACCTCGAAACCCCCCGAGAGAACATTTTCCAGACATTTTCGTTGAACCGTGTGTGGCATTTGCCACATATTCATCAAAACTCTAACAAAAATGCCCCATTTGTTAAATAAACAATTAAGAATGTGCAAGCGTACCACCCCATACCACCATATATTTTTCAAACGCTGCCATTATTCGAAGAAATTGATAAATATAGATTAAATAAAAATATCAAAAGAATGAAAATAAACTACTTTATAAACCAAAAGTCGATATAAAAACCGATGAGAGACAAATATTTGACATTTATGTTTGTTTCTTGTCATAAACAATATCCATGGCCTACAGAAAAGTGTCATTTATTTGCGTGTTTCTGATAAAAAGTGCATATTTTTGAAAAAGTAGAAAAAATACAAATTTTATAGTCCATAAATATACAGGATGTTTCATCTAAAAGAACATAGGTTTGCCTTATGACTCCAAAATAGTAAATACGTAACAAAAATTATCTACACCACTGCATTCTACGGAAAAAATCTATAAGAATGTTATTTTACATTTTCGATAAGGGAAAGGATAACGGAAATACGAGAGGGTCCCAAAATGCAACATTTTCAAAAATACCATGTATCTTAAAAACTAAACGAGCTATGAAAATTTTGTTAATAACCGCTTCAGTTTTACGAAAAAGTAGCATAGGTCGCAAAAAACGCAACCTTCTATCTTTAAAAATAACAAAGGAAAAAAATCCCAAAATGGGATACACACATTTAGATAGTCCCATTTGAAAAGTATTGCATTTTTAATTTACAATTTGTGAGGTAAAGTTAGGTTATTTTTTAACAATTTTATTGATTGAATTTTTCTAACTGAACCCTTTATATTTTTATTAAAAACTTCTGTAGGATAATAGTTCAATCCTTTATCTATTATCAATAAAATCTATTAATTATTGTGCTGTCTAGAATTAAAACCAAATACCTACTCGAATTTCACACATTTCAATTGTATTTGTGAGCTCTTGAGGATAGACTAATTGAATCGATTATTTCAGAAACAACCTAAGTTACTTTTTGTCCATATTCACATTGTTGTTTCAAACGTTTAATCCAGAAAACACCTAACTTCCGTAAATATCCTTAGTTATATAACAATTTAAAATTTTCATTTATTTCTGAAACAACCTTAGTTCTGCTCCTGGTTTAAAACGTTTTTTTTTTTCACCTACTGAAAATTTTCAAAAAGTGACAGGATGTTTCTGAAATAAACGATTCAATTATGGTTACAAACTTAAGATTAAAAGAAAAGGTTACTAAGTAATAAAAACGATTTAAAAACGATTTAAAAACGATTCAAAAATAAATAGAAAAAGTAAGAGTTGCTTATAACAACAGTAATTTAAAATAAAATAAAAATTACATTAATCAAATAAAACATGCAACATTTACAACGACGACTAACGAATAATTTAAAAATTTATTATGATTCTGGAATGATTCTGTATTCAGAAACAGTATTTTTTCAGCATACCGAATTATATTTTAAATCAAATTTTAGAATATGGAAATTAAAATTTCTAATTTGTGTCACCCTGTAAAAAGATAAATGAGTATATATTCCAATAAACTCATGTTTAATGTATTTACACTTGAAAAACACTTATTATCTGGTACTGTTTCAAATTAACAACAGTTGTATGTTCATAAAAAATTGCAGGAGTATTTACATTTTTATTCAAACATTATGGATGCACCAATCGTAGAAACAGCCGAAGGGAAATTGCGTGGTTGTATTAAAAAAAATCTAGATGGCGAAGAGTTTTATAGTTTTTTGGGAGTTCGTTATGCCAAGCCCCCAGTTGGAGAACTTAGATTTAAGGTAAGTAATTTGTTTATAATAGTAGTATTGTTCTAAAACTCTGAAAATAAATTGAATGAGAATGACAACTGTGGGATCTCTAATTTTGTAGATTTTGTCTTTTTTATTTAAGATTATTTTATTATAAATATAAATATTTGCGTTTGTAACGAAAATATATTTTGGCAGAGGAACAAATAGCTGTGTATATAATAAAAATGAAAATGTTATAGTTAAAATAATAGGATCTTTGGCAATGAGGTTGCTAACGAGATGAGCATAATCTTTTGTCTTTTGTCATGTAATAGAAATTTATCAAATGGTGAGAGCTGTCATTAAATTCCATGACAGATTAATTTTTTTATTCGTATGTGTCTAAAAACGTCGAAATTTTACACTTTTTCTCCAATTTTTCCATTACGGTCTATTTTAGAGAAATCATGTAAAAAACAAAAATTATAGAGATCGATATCGCAAACAACTTTTAGTTTAACAATTTTCTTAAAAATCAGAATTTTGCACATTTTATAGAGAATAATATTAGAAGTAAATTTATTTAAAGCATTTTCTTCTCCAAACATAAATAAATAACAGATATATTCCATAAAGTATAAAAACAACCTCCCATATGTTCCGACTCTGCCCAAAATATAATAGTAAAGGAACAACACCGTTTCTAGCGCAATTCACCACAGGTTGGAACAAAACTTAACTTTAAAATTTAATGTTTTTTCTTTATCCGTTTTTGAGTTTTCTTCAAAATTCAAAATTTACCTTTTTTTTTCTCCAATACTGTCTATTTAAGAGAAATTATGTATAGGACAAAAATTATATATAATTAACTCACAAATAACTTTTATTTGAACAATTTTCTTAAAAATTTGATTTTTTTTACATTTTGTAAAATTTCTCGAATTTTAAGAAAATTTTGTATGGGACAAAAATTATAGATAATTAATATAGGAAGTAACTTTTATTTAAACAATTTTCTTCTCCAAATATAAATAACAGATATATTCCATAAAAAATAAAAACAAAATAATAAAGTATATAAAGTAGTTTTCTTCAAAATTCGAAATTTACACTTCATCTCAAATATCTCGAATACGGTCTATTTTAAGAAAATTATGTATGGGATAAGAATTATAGAGAATTATATTACAAATAAGTTTTATTTGAACAATTTTCTTATAAATTTGATTTTTACGTTTTGTCAAATTTCTCGAATACGGACAATTTAAAAAAAAAATTGCACAAAATAAAAATTATAGAGAATAATATTATAAGTAACCTTTATTTAAAGCATTTTCTTCCCCAAACGTAAATATCAGATATATTCCTTAAAATATAAAAACAGACACAGACATCATCGCGAAAATAGTCAAAATAGATTTAGGAGACCTCAATACGTAAAAAAAAATGAACAGGAATAGGTTAAGTATTATTTTTTCTTCTGTTTTTTTATGTTTACTCGAAAAAATATTATCAAATTACCTTAACCCTGACCCCATAAACTCTTAAATTAACCAGTCTCCGATAACGCCACACTAGAGTAAGGTCAGTTACGTACGATGAAATTGTGAATAAAAAAACAAATTAATACAGCATTGTCAACAATTTGATTTTGGCCGTCTGGAAACACTGGTGATGAAGCAGCTGAGTAGGAGAGTGTAGGAGCACTCTCATGAGATTAATAAGAGGGTACCTGACGACTAAGCACTTTTCCCCATTTTTGTGGCGGCTACGTAGCTGCCACGTAACAAGGATGTGGCCACCTATGATCCACTTTATCGTGTGTTTTATAGTCACCGATACGTTGCGTGACTTTGTTACTTCGACACCGAAAATTTTTTAAATTAGTCACTAGTAATTGGAATGTGAAAAACATAAATTAATTACCATATACGAAGTAAGAGCAATATTTTTAAACCAATTGCATCCAGTTTTCTGGTGTTAAAATGTAGATTTTCCTTTTGTTTTCCACTAATAAATGAAAAATCGTATCATTCGGCAAGTACGTAACAAAGTAATGCAACATAATTGTGTCTAATTTAGAACAAGAATAGACCAAAATACATTAATGAATAAGATATTTCGGTTTCCATTTTGGTCCCCACAACAGTCTAAAAAAAATCAAGATGTTTTGGGAAGTATACTAAAAATGGCAAAATATAATTTCCTGTGATCTATAATAATAAGTAAATATAACCTAAATTGTTCCTCTTTTATTACTTCTATCGTCTGTCAAATGTTTCTTCACATATGACCATAAAACATAAATTATTGAAGAATTGTCATAGACCAGTGGTCGCCAACCTGTCGATCGCGAGCTACCGGTAGCTCGCGTAGGCAATTCTGGTAGCTCTCATAACGATTTTAATTTAAAAAATGCAAAAATCAGAGAAGCTTCCGAAAATTCCACAAAAAAATCTAATTGTCATAATATTAAACATAAACAGCGGCAACGTTGCGGTGAGCGATCTGCCGCTGACGCCATCAAGCTATAATCGGCTAGAACCACGGGGGTTTATATCATATGCACAATACGTAAACACGTTTCTGCGCATACTCCTCCGCGCTTGGGTGCTCTGAAGTCCGTTTTACAATAGCAAAATTGTATTAAAATTAAATTAACATTGAATAATTTAATAAGATCTCGCTTAGTAACACACAAAAAGTATTGTTTCAAACATTTTAATACATATTTTACAATAAATTAAAAAAACATGCCTTCACTTAATTATTTGTACACTGTAACCTGGCTTTCTGTCCGCTGCATGACTGCTGGTTGCCCGCTATGGCGGGCCCCGCGCGCCTTTACTGTCAAAAATCAAAAAATATGGTTATGGTTGTCGACGAAAACATGTGAGTGAGAGTATTTTTATTTATTTTAGTTTTAAGTTTTAGATATAAGTTATTTAGGATTATTTAAAATTAAGTAAAGGTATTTTGATGCTTTAACATGTCTTCACCAGGCAGAATTCATTATAAATGCATAATTTCCAATTGTAATAGTATATTTTATAGGCCCATTTCAAACGTAGATTTTAAGAACAAACATTTTTTTAAATTTCCTTCTGATATTAATCAAAGAAAGGAATGGTGCCGCATTTTAAACATTCCACTCATTCCACTTACAACCAATCATTATAAATTATGTGAAAATCATTTTGATACAAAATCATTTACAAACACAAATCGTTCAAGACTGCTAAAATTTGCTTTGCCTTTAACACCCTCAAAACCAGATACACCAAAGATAGAAGTACTTAGTAATATTGTCATCACACCTCCAAACAGATTACCTGTAAAGAGAAAGTTAAATTTTAATAATATAGATCAAAATTTCAATGATAGTCATTCATCAAATGACTTTGAATTATTACCTAAGAAACAACGTTTAGATAATGGATTTTTAAGTAAAATTAATGAAACTCGAGTTAATAGTTTATCTCCTAGAAAGAAAAAACTTTATTTTTTTAATAGAAAACAGAAAAGTCAAATTTGCAAATTAAGAAAGGCCCTAATTAATTCAAAAAGTAACATTAAAAATGCAGTCAAAATTTCAGAATCAAAGATATTTCAACAATTTAATTCGAAGCTCGATCCTGCAGGCATGAGATTTTTAAACAGCACTACATCTAATTCAAAAAAGATGAAACCTTCTTGGACAACATCAGATAAAGTCTTGTCATTAGCTTTATACAAGAAGGGCCCACGAGCTTATAATTTTTTAAAACGTTTCATCTCATTACCTAGTAAATCCACTTTACAGTCACTTTTGAGATCAGTTCCATTTGAAACGGGCATTAATAAATCAATTTTTAACAGGCTTAAAGAAAGGGTTGCTAAAATGAAGCAAATTGATAGAAACTGTGTCTTATTATTTGATGAAATAGCTCTTACAGAACAACTGACTTTGGATATAGCTAGTGATAAAGTTGTAGGGTTCGTAGACCTTGGTAACAATTTAGGAAGAAAATTACAAACAGCTGACCACGCATTGGCATTTGTAATAAATGGCTTACGAAAGGCTTGGAAGCAGCCAGTGGCTTATTATTTCACGAAAGATCAGGTTAAAACTAACGATTTGAAAATCATTATTGTAGAAGTAATTTTAGAGTTACAAAAAGTAGGATTAAATGTAATGGCAACTGTTTGCGATCTGGGGAATACGAATCGTACTGCACTGAAACAATTACGAGCAGAAAATAATATTAAAAAACCTGGTCCTTATTTTTTTGTCAATGGAAAAAGGATAATTACCTTGTACGATCCTCCCCATCTTTTGAAATGTACCAGAAATACCTTGTTTAATTATGATATTTATTTTGATAATAATTCTAAATGTGCTAAATTTAATTATATTAAACAAGCTTTTTATCTTGATAAAACTAAACAATTTCAAGCATTACATAAAGTTAGAGAATCTTTTTTGGATATTAATAGAAATAGTAAGTTAAAAATGAAGGTTTCAGCTGCAGCAAAAGTAATGAGCCACACCATGGCTGCTGCCATTGAAAGTCTAATAGTACCTAATAAATTACCATCTGAAGCTATCTATACTGCTGAATTCATTGAGGACATTGATAAGCTCTTTGACAGCCTTAATGGTAATAACCCAAGTGTCGTTGGTAGTAAATCTCTTAGGCAGTGTGCTTCAAGAAGATCTAAACATCTAGAATTTTGGAATTCTATATTGCCAAAAATAGAATCTTGGCAGTTTCTACCAAAAAATGGTAAACCTATGAAGAAGGTAATGCCTTTTAAGGCCGGTTGGTTAATTACTATTAGGGGTGTCAAACTACTTATGAATGAATGTTGGAAAAAGGGATTCAAATTCATTAGAACGCGTGCTTTAAACCAAGATCCGGTTGAAAATATGTTTGGCGCAATTCGGCAGTATGGTGCTGCCAATACTTCTCCAAATTGTTACCAATTTATAACAGCTTTTAAAACATCCATTTTAAATAGTTTAATTTCAGGAAGAAATTATAATTCCAATTGTGAAGCCGATGAAA